GGGGGGGGAACTAGGACTGGAGGAAGGGGATGAGGTTGCGGAGGCGCGGGGCGGCTTGTTGGATCTGGTCGTCCTTGCAGAAGCTGAACCTGACGTAGTTCTTGCCTACCTTGGCGGCGCCTTGGTCTGCATAGAAGGCAGTTGCAGGGATGACGACCACGTCGCACGTCTTTGCAATGAACCACGCCTTGAGGTAATCATCATGCTTGGCGAGGATTGCTTTGGGTACGTCGTTCTTGTCGACCCAGTCGTCTGGGATCTTGAGCTTGGATACATCGGCCATGACAAAGTAGCCTCCATGGGGCACGGTGTAGGGAAGACCGATGTCGTCGAGCGCGGTTTGGAGGATTTTTCTCCTCTGGGCGTATTGGTTGATCTGGGTGTTGAAAAAGTCGTGCTTGTTGGCGGCTTCGAGACCGATGGCTGCGCCTTCCTGTGCGGACGAGTTGACGGCAAACGTGATGCGCGTGTGCACGGCGCGGGCGGGCGCGATCAAATGATCCGGTCCCACCAACCAACCCACCCGCCATCCCGTACACGCAAACGACTTGCCCGCCGATCCCACCGTGATGGTGCGATCCCACATCCCCTCGAAACTCGCCAGTCGCACATGCTTGTGGTTGTCAAACGTGAGACAGTCGTACACCTCGTCGGCAACCACAAGAATGTCGTGCTTGACACAGAGCTCAGCGATCTTTCCCAACTCTTCGGTCGAGAATACCTTGCCCACGGGATTGTGCGGCGTGTTGAGGATGAGCGCCTTTGTGGATGGTTTCGCGAGAACGCTCTCGAGATGCGCCATATCGAGCGTCCATTCGTTGGAATCGATGTGTGCGTCTTTCGCATCCGCGGGCGGCAGGAGAGGCACGTAGAGCGGTACACCGCCGTGGAAGAGGATCTCTGCATTGTACTGGTCGAAAAACGGCTCGATGCACACTACGCCATCGCCGTCGTTGATGAAGGCGCCCATGACCGAGTAGATGCCCCCGTTGGCGCCGCTCGTCACCTGCACCTCGGTCTCGACATCGAGCTTGCGCGATCCGGCAGCACGCTGTTTGCCCGGCTGAATGCGGTCGCCTTCGCTAGCGCCAGAGGGGAGGTGGAACTCGGGCGAGTAGAAATCGCTGATGGCCTGGCGCAGACGAGGACGCCCCTTGGGATGCGAGTAGTGGTGCAGGTCGACACGGCTGGCAAACTCGGTGGTGATGGCATCGAGGATGTACGATGGCGGCTGCCAGTTCATGAAGCCCTGGCCGAGATTGATGGCGGTGGGGAAGACGACTGGATTGAAGAGGGTCCACACATCGACGCCTGCGTTGAGCTCGGCATGGATGCGCTCGGCGCGCTGAGTGGCCCAGCGCGTGGTACCGCCGGTGGAGGGAGATGCGGCGGACATGGTGGAGCGACAAGCGCCTGCGAGCGATGTGGAGGCGCGGGGAAGGGCGACGGTGGGGATGCGCTGCGGCAGGGTCGACAAGAGCTTCATGCGCGTCCAGCACCGGTATCACAATGGCTGTTCTGGTGTTGTTCTGCAGAGGCCAGCACTGGTGTGGTGGTCGGTGGGCACGACGGAAGATCTGAGAAGACAGGGCGGAGAGGGTCGGCTGGATCGGTCCGTGCTTGATCGTCTGATGGCGGCGAGTCATCCGTCCGCGACAACCGGAATCGCAGCGCGTGGCGAATGACCTTGATTGTTGGGATCATGGAGCTAACACCTTTGGATTGTCGCCCTGGACCCTGCATTTCGAGCGCATTTGCGCATCTTCGGTGGGGGCCAAGTGCCAATTTCATCATCCGCCTGCGTCTGACGTGCTTGGCGCGCGGGCACTGCCCAACTGCCCAATCGCAGTGCCGGTCCCCGCATTTTCACGTTGGCTCCCCACGCGCGGCTCAAATCGAAGCCAGCAGATCAGAGTGCATCCGCAATCCCGCCATTCGACGCACACATCCCGACATCTGCCAAATGAAGTGCAGCAGCCTCCCTTTGCGAAGCTCCGACATGGCTTCAGCTGGAACAAAGAGTCGGAGCTCGGCCCCCTTCGGCCCTTTGGACGACCTGATCGCCGGTCAACTTGGCTGCACCACTCCAGCACGCGCCAAATGCACAGATGGCGTGGACAGTTCAGCCGGCGTGGTTGGAACAAAATCCCACCGCTCCAATTGGGCGGGCACTGTCACATTGTGCATCCAAACTCCCCCTGCCAGGCACAACCATTGTCGTCGCCACGCATTGTTTGGCGGCAATGTACACCATAGATCATGTGATGGTGCCATTGGTGCGTGTGTGAGTCACGCTGTGTCTTGGAGGCGGGCAAAGCCGGCTGCTCTTTCGATGGGTGAGGATCGAAAGCATGATGCTCGCCAGATGCTGCTCGGCTGCATCGTGCTGGCTTTTGAGCACTCTGGTCTCAGGCCCACATCGCGTGGCTTGCGCTCGCGTTCGCCCTTCACCCCTCTCCATCGCAACCCCTGCCTTGTCCGCCATCCATCATCCTCCTTCAGCTGCCCATCTGCTCTTCCACGTGCACTAGCGCCGCTAGTCTCGGATCTTTTTGTCCACGAGGTCTCTTTGCCCTGAATCTTCTAGCCGAGCCTTCCCGTCCCCTTCCTCTTGCGGCGATTCTCCTCTGTTTGACGCCTACATAAAGCTGGCCGTCCTCGTCTTTGCTTGATCATCTTCACCTCCCACCTATCCCTCCCCCTTTGTATCGTTTACACCCCATAGCACCATCATGTCGGCCAAGCCCGCTTCGGTCGACCGCGTCGTCGTCGACGACGCCAGCTCCAACCCGGACCAAAAGTCGCTCACCAGCGTCTCGGACCATGCTATCCCTCGTGCCGCCCCGGAGCAGGGCAGCACCAAGCAGACCTTTCTCGAAATCATCGGTCTGCGCGACCCCAAGCCCGAGGCCCGTCCCGTCTGGGACGGCCGGAACCCCTCGTGGTTCCGATCCACCTTTTTCCAGATCACCGTCCTCGGTGGATGCTCGTTCCTTGCCCCTGGTATCTGGGGCGCCATGGCCGCCCTCGGCGCAGGAGGCTCCCAGGACCCTAGCACCGTCAATGCCGCCAACTCGCTCACCTTTGCCCTCATGGTCGTCACCAGTCTTTTCACGTCGTCGCTAGTCGGCAAGACGTCGGTGCGCTTTGCACTTGCGTTTGGCACAATGGGCTATGCGCCGTACGCAGCGGGCCTCTACCTCAACAGCGTCAACCAGACCCAGTGGCTCATCATTCTCGGCGCAGCGCTGTGCGGTATCAGCGCGGGCACCTTCTGGAGTGTCGAGGGCGCCATTGCCCTCGGCTACCCAGAGAGGCTCAAGCAGGGCAAGTACATCGCCTACTGGCTCATGTTCCGTGTGCTCGGTCAGCTCCTCGGCGGCATCATCAACTTGGCGCTCAACTACAGCGACAGCGAAGCAGGCTCCATCTCGACCAACACCTATCTCGTCTTTGTCGTCCTCCAGTGCATCGGGCCCCTTGTCGCCCTGCTCCTGTCGCCACCGCACAAGGTGCAGCGCACCGACAAGACGCCCGTCTATCTGCACATCGAGTCGTCCACCCGGCGTGAGCTCAAGCTCATGTGGAAGCTCATCACCCGACGCGATGTGCTGCTCCTACTACCCATCATCTGGCAGTCGACCTGGTCCGAAGCACTTATCGGAACCTACGCTGTCAGCTACTTCAGCGTCAGGTCGCGCGCCCTCGGATCGCTCCTCTCGGCCGTCACCGCTAGCATTGCCAACTACATCCTCGGCTTCTTCCTCGACTCGCGAAGGCTCACGGTCAACAAGCGCGCCAAGTCGTCGTTCATCGTCATTTACGCGCTCCAGGCCGGCTGGTGGGCCTGGGCCATCTACATTATGAACAAGTACCACAACACTACGCCCAAGCCAACCTTCGACTGGACTTCCTCCGGCTACGGCGTCGGCTTCGCCGTCTACATCTTCCTGCAGGCGGGCTTCAATCTCCAATACGAATACAACTACTTCCTGATAGGCCAGCTGTCCGACGATCCATCCGAGATCATTCGTCTTGCCTCGATCGTCCGCGGTGTCGAGAGCGCCGGCCAGTGCGTCTCGTACGGCGTCAACAGCACCAGCTTCCGCCTCGACGCCGTCGCCGGCCTCAACACGGCGCAGTGGGCGCTCAGCATCTTGCCCGCCTGGCTCGTCATTCGCAAGGTCGGAATCCTCGCGGACGGAACAAAGATCCACGAGCCCAGGACGTACGCCGCTGAAGAGGACAGGAAGAAGCTCAAGCAGAGCGGCCTCGAGACGGCAGAGTACGACCTCAAGGGCGATCAGTAGATACCATCTTGCAGCCTTGTCTTGGTGCGGTAATGGAATCGCACGATCACAAGGTCGGCAAGTAGATCTGTAGCATAGTCTGTCGTCCAGTAATGGAATCATGATCGAGACATAGAGAGCAGACCGGCGTCTTTGGGAAACGTTGAGCCACGTGTTTTTACATAGCGGCTCAATCTCGACACAGAGGCCGATCCAAATACCGTTTGCTCACGCAGGAAGAAGCTGGTCTGTGTCTCTCCAACGCGGAGTGTAGATAGAGGTGATCCTGTCGGCTGAACCATCACATCATCGAGTCTTTGACAGCGCTGAGTTGATCGAATTCCATGGACAGCTTCTGTTGGAGGGGTTTGGCTTCATCGATCGGGGCCTTGGATTGCTTGCACGCCCGCATACGGTGTGCAACCCCCACTTCATCAACGCCGCACGGCTCTGGAGGCTGTGGCGTCCACCCACTCCGAGGTATGAAGCATGTACCTCGTGTTCGGATCTCACTCACTCGCAACATGGAGGTTGATCCATCACCATCATTCGCATTGGCTTCCCAGCATTGTCGATACACTCGTTCCGATCGCATGCGACCGTCTGCCACAAGTCGCATGCCTTGGCCCGCTACCGTCCTGCACCACAGTTCCCAACAGCCTCTTGTGGAAACCTCAGCGGCAGGCGCGCTTCTTGCAATCATCTGCGGTCAGTCTCATCGAGCTCTGCCCTCAGGTGCGGTTGCACGCACATTCCAAGTCTGTTAGGGGGCCGAGGATGCTCGGGAAAGAGGGCCGAGGTATATTGAGATTATCTGGAGCAAAGCCAAGGTGCGCGCTAAGGAAGGAGAGCGTCTCTAAGATGCCAGAGGAGCATTTCGGCAAACAGGGCGCCACCGGGGAGCTGGCCTGGCGCAAGCGGGTTGAGCGAATGCTGGTCCTGTCCCATGAGGACCTGAGCAAAGTTGAGTGGGACGACGTCGGCGGGCATGCGAGCCGCACGCGAGACTTCGCCCTTGACCACGTCGTCGCCATGAACATCCAGCGCCGAGTGTTGGGCGTTGTTGATCTGGGCGATGCGATTGGCGTGATAGAGCGGGTGGTTCTTACGCACCTCGCCCTCGATTCCAAGGAATGCCTCGACAGTGCTAGCTTCCGATGCGAGCGGGTAGGCTGTGTCCCTCCATACGATGCGAGGACGGCGCCATGCCCGACGTACGCTGCCGAGCATATCCACCATCCGGGACCGCCACCACATGATGCGTTCCTCGGACAGATTCTCCAGCAACCCAACACCCGTGTCGATGTCAAACCGCGCCCACCGAGCCAGATCCCACAGCCCCGAGTTGAAGATGACCAGGTCCGGTTCGGCGCGTGCGCGCGGCAGGGGCAGTGCGGGCGAAGTGTGTGTCCGTGACGCCATGTCGCGCATGTACGGCACATACAGATCCGTCACCCGATCCTCAAACAACCCCGGCGCGTTGTAAAGCTCCTCGCCCCGCCACGAATCGAACGTATCCGCCCCATACGCATAGATCGACGTCACCAGAAAGTCGTACTCCGGCAAGTAGCAGTAATGCGCCAGGGGCGCGTTGTTCTTCACGGGCGTAAAGCCGTGCTTGGGCGGAACCGCGTTGATGCTTCCTCCCCACGGATGGTTCTTGTCCACCGCCTGTATTGTGTGTCCCGTCAGCGCGCACAGATGCTCGACCAGCGCCTTGTCCACCTGATGGTCACCGATCATGAGCACCGTGCGGTTGGTCAAAAACGCCCCGAGCTCCTCGACACTGCTGCTGGAGTCGAGCTTGTGCACCGCGTGCGGCGCGATCTTGCTCGGATCCTCGTGCTGGATGTTGAGCGTCGAGATGAGCGTGCCGAGCAGATTCGTGGTCGAGCACGACGGATCGAACGTGCGCCAGGCGGGCAGCTCGTTGGTCCCAATCGACCAGTCCACCCATCCCGGGATGCTGAACGGATCGCACCGCCCAGAGCGTGTCGTGTGGTAGCCGCGCCGCGGCCCGTTGCTCGACACGCCCCGAGATGGGTCGGCAGGCGCGAGCGAGCAGAGGAACGTGATCGCAATGTAGGCCGCCGAAAAGTAGGTGAGGATGCGCCCCGCGGTCTGCACGCGTGTGTCTGCCAGCTGCGGCTTGCCTTTGCCCGTCAGAGGGCGCACGTTGGACGGCATTGTAGATGCCAGAAGGGTCCTGCCCTGATCGGATTCGTGTCGATTCTAGTCCAGAGATTCGGAGATTTGTGTCGTGTGGCAATCGGACGTGGAATGGTCCGTAGCTTTGCAAGAACCGGGAATGAATGCAAAGGCTGGAGGATGCGATGGCCGAGGAGAGCGCAGGCCTGGTGGTAAGGACGAGGTGTGAGATGGACGATGCGGCGCACACCTTTCAGATTCGACTCCGCATGCTCCGTGCGGGGGAAGGCCGTCTTGTGCTCTCTTTCGGATTTGCCCCACGGCATCGGTACTCATGCGCCCAAGATCGCGGCAGGATCGGGCCGTTGCTTCGATCGTATTTTCTGGCTTGTTAGGTCGATCAAATTTCAGCTCTCGGATATTCCAAGCTCGGCCGAGCTTTCCTTACATCACATGACCCGGAAAGAGCCTTTGCAAAAGTGGTGGAATTGCGAATTTCCAAGTCGAGGCCTGACAACCCGCGAACAGCGGCACCGCGCCAGGCAGCAGCACCCTCAAGCCTCGAGGAGCAGCGAGCTGTCGAGTCCGTGACCCACGGAGTAGAGGACAGAGTGCGGCCAGAGGTGCGGGCTGAGATGAGCCTTGGGTGTGAGAGCTCGGAATTGACTGATGTGCTGTGGGAAGCGCGAGCGAGCGCGAGAACATCGCCGCCTGCAAGCCTGTTTGTGCGGTTCGAGCAGCGGGCGGCGGGCGGCGGTGCCGACTGCGAAAGAAGCTTGGTCGCCATCCGATCGTCTTCCTTACCCTCACCCTACGTCAACACCCCACATCACCTCAAGGTTAGTATACGCACCAGCATACTTCGAACGGAGACACTTCGCACGCGACGACACAGCACACGCAGCACGAGCGTATTCCATCGACTCCGACATCGCACACCCAGCATCAGAAAAGGCCACTGAGCTTGGCCTCGAATCGAATCGCTACATCTCATACTCGCACCACCATATCTTCACCAAATCATCGCAACCAGCCAATCACTCGAGAAAGGTACTGTCCATCATTTCCTACGGCGAAGGACCGCTTCTCAGTCGGAGATAGAGCATACGTCGACATGGCCTGCATGCACAACTGGAGGATGCCATCCCGACACATACGGCGGATGACACCAACCATCGTCCGTGCAATCGCAGATATGCCTTGAACGCACGTCGACTCTCATCCTGGGCATGCTAGTCCACGCCAATCCCGTCGAAGAGCCGGGAAAGAGGGCATTTCGACACATGACTCTGTCTTTGCAAACCGCCCGCACCCTAGCATCGACCTGCCTCGCGCCACACTATCTTCCAACCACATCGCCCACGCTCGCGCTTGTTGTCGCTCCGCCCCACCGTCGTCGCGCTCCGTTTTGTGCCCAATCGCATGCATTCCCGGATCAGCAGTACTGACCCGCATACCAACCTGTTCCGTCTCCGCCCGCAGATCCAAAGATGCTGCAGATCTTCAAGGAGCTCGACCTCGCGGTCCCCGCCGACGTTTCCGTCAGCATTTCGTCGCGTGTCTTCACCGTCAAGGGCCCCCGCGGCTCCCTCACCAAGGTTAGCATTTCTTCCCAGCCGCACTATTCGGTCAGCTCTTTTCGACACAGCAGAAGCAGCAGCAGCAGCACGAACAGCATCAGATAGCAGCTCTAAGATGTGGATGACAGAGGACGGACAGGCACGACAGGAGGCGCAGAGGCTGCCTTTTCCGACAGGCACAGATTACGGCGACGCAGCCGCGATTGCATTGGAGCAGACCGGCACTTGGCCACCTTGTATCGTTGGACCTCTCCACCTGCGCACATGGCGAATCGCAGGGCCAGAGCCAAAAGACACAGCAGGCCCTACTCGGCGAAGCAACAGTAGGAGATGGAAGGAAGCAGGAAGGAGTGTGGTGGGAAAGCGCATCTGGGCTTGGCCGCGTCTTTCAGTTGGGATGGCTGATTGTAGCGACTACAGCTCTGGACGCTTGACAAGGCAAAGATCCTCTCCGGTCGGCTTTCGCTATCAACCGTCGCTTCTGCTGCAGCTGTTATTGTTGCTGCTTAGAACGAGCATCCGACCCAGGCAACCCGTCCCCTCACATCGCCCGACGCTCGGAAGCTGACATTCTCTCTTGCTTTTTCCAACGCCACAGTCGCTCAAGCACATGAACCTTGATGCCCGTATCATCAAGAGCCCCGCCGGCCAGAAGATCAAGTTCATCGTGTGGCACGCCGCCCGCAAGCACGCCGCTTGCCTGCGTACCGCTCAGGCATGCGTTGCCAACATGATCAAGGGTGTCACCGTCGGCTTCCAGTACAAGATGCGCGCCGTCTACGCCCATTTCCCCATCAACATCATCATTGCTGGTGACAAGAAGTCGGCCGAGATCCGCAACTTCCTGGGCGAGAAGCGTGTCCGCAACATCCAGATGCTCGAGGGCGTTACCATCCAGGAGGACAAGGCGCAGAAGGACCAGGTCCTCGTCGAGGGCAACGACATTGACCTCGTTTCGCAGTCGGCCGCTCTCCTCCACGGTGCCACGCTCGTGCGCAACAAGGATATCCGAAAGTTCCTCGACGGTATCTACTGCACCGGCAAGGCCAGCGTCGTCAAGGCCGAGGCCTAAACAGCGTTGTCTTTCCTTTGTACCATCTCCCTTTTCTTCGCCGCACCTACAACCTTCATCTTCACATGCTTGTATCGGTTAGCATCTGATTCCCTCCCTTTCCATCCCACACCCACCCAACCATGCAAAAATAAAACACGCTCCCATCTACGCATGGAGCAGTTTCGATCCCAGAATCTCTTTTGTCCGCATGTGTGTCCCTCTCGCAGAAATTCGTCGGAAGTGTAGCCGAAGTGGGCGGTCAGACTTGCACAGACGGGAAGAGCATTAAGACGGTTCATATGTTCCATCGGTCCGAGATCTAAAGCATGCGGTGGATGGAGTGGTCTGTGAGGTCTGCAAGCGACTTTGCATCGAGTGGCTGCTCGGCTTGCCTCCTTGCCAGCAGCTCGGTCCACCAGGGGAAGAGGAACTTCTGCACGATCAGCTTGAACCAGGGCGTAAAGGAGGCCGGGTCGAGTTCGGTCATGAGAGCCTTGAGCTCTTCGGGCGAGACCCACTTTGTGTCGCACACCTCGTTGAGGTTGGGCTGGAGCGTGACGTTGGCGGTGATGAAGAGGATGTAGTCGATCTCGTGCTCGCCCCAGATGTCGTCCTGCCCGTTTGCGGCGAGGTAGTGGATGCGCGTGAGGTACTGGAACTCGTCCAATGGCACCTGCTCTGCCGGGATGCCCAGCTCGTGGTCGAGCTTGCGCTGAGCAGCGCGACGAACACCTGTCCATTTCACAAAGCCAAGATGCGCGAATCGTCAGCACTTTGCCGTAGCTCACAGTAAGTAGCGTGTGCAGGGTGAAGGAAACGTACCGATCTGCTCTGCCTCTTCGAGTTCGCCCTTGATGGCGAGCGGGTGGGAGCAGCACGTGTTGGTCCACATGTTGGGGAAGGTGATCTTCTCGGCGGCCCTGCGCTGGAGCAGCAGCTTGCCGGACTCGGGGTCAAAGAGGAAGACGGAGAAGGCGCGATGCAAGAGGCCCTTGTTGATGTTGGTCATGAGGTGGCATTCCTTCTTGCTGCCGTCGCGGACATACTTGTCGTCGTTGTCGAGCACGATGCATCGCTCCTCCATGAGGCGGATCTGCTCCTCATCGTAGCCGGCGAGCGACGAGTCGAGGCTGATGGAGCCGACCTGAGCGGTTTGTGTGGTGGCGGTCGTGCTGGTGGTGGTGGACGACATGTTGGCTGCTCTGCCTTCGCAAGGTAGACGAAAGTAGGAACGAATATGTGTTGTTACAGAAGAAGGGTCGAGCGGATGCGTGCGAAGAAGTGCGCACATTTGGAGAGCAACACTGCGCACGCAACTCTATCTCTGCAGCCCCTTCCCCCGCCACCGCCATTCGCCTCTCCCAAACCTGCGAATCAGCCCACACTCGCTCGGTATTGGACCTGAGCCTCACAGCAGATCGCGTCTCGCCGTTATTCGCAGATCGGGCTCCCACGAGGCAGAGCAGCTCGTCCAATTCCGATCTACACGTGATTTCGAAATGGCGAATACAAAGGGCAACTACACCGAGCTGAATTGCGAGGAAGCGTGGGTGCGCCTGCCGGTGCTGGGCTCTGGCTTTTCTTCCAAATTTGCTCGCCTGCTGGCTTGGCCCCAAGGCTGAGGGCCGCCGTGCGGTGAGGCGAAGCTTCCAAGTCGCAGTTGCCTGGGCTGTTCGACCCTTTGATCTCCTTTCCACTCTACCATCGCATCTCCACCAGCGCCGGCAGCACATACGACATCCCATCATGGCTTCGGAATCCGCAAGCGCATCCCAGTGGGTCTCGCCATCCACGCGCCCCGAGCACATCGAGCAGCTCATCTCCGGCGTCGACCGATACAACCCGCAGAACCTCGACGTGCTCCACGACTACCTCGCCCAGCAGCTCGACGATGGCTCCTACGACTTGCTCGCCAACCTTGCCATCCTCAAATTGTGAGTATCATCAATGGTCCAGCGTCGAGACGACCCTCTCGCATGCAAACACACCCGACCACTTCGAAACAAAGGGCAACAGCAGTACCCTACGCCAGAGATGTCCGCACACCTCGTCTCCACCCTCAGCGACCGCACTCCTCCGACTCGAATGATGATCCCTTTATTACCAAAATGCAAAGCGATTGGATGGCTGGGAGTGAAGCCCCGGCCATCCGATGACGTGCATCTATATTAGCTCTATCTGAGCCCTGCACGGCAGCGACTCGGCGCAATTCGAACGATGGCACTTGGGATGGCCCACCGCGCGCCATCACAGAAGGGTTTCGCATTTCGAGAGGGACTTCGACGCTACGGACGCCGCGAACGCCAAAAGCCAAGCGAGCGACGACCATACTGACCGTCTATCGTTCCTCTCGACGTCTTGACTTTGCACCAAACAGGTACCAGTTCAACCCTGCCGACTTCAACTACGTGGTTGTGATCAACATCCTGCTCAAGGCTCTCGTAGCCGCGCCATTCCCAGACTTCAACCTGTGCGTGTCTCTGCTCGGCGAGGCGCCATTGTCCACCGTGCCCGTCAAGGCAGAGAAGGAGGCGACGGCTGGAGACGATGCTGGCTCGCTCGCCAGCGACGAGGAGGAGGCGGTGGTGGAGAAGCCCAAGGACGTTGCCTCGGCGGGCCACCTGACGGACGCGTTGATCGTGCGCCTTTCGCAGCTCAGCACGCTGCTCTTCCAGGCCCGATTCCGCGAGTTCTGGTCGACGCTCAACAGCGCCGAGTACTCGGACGTGCGCGAGTACGCCGCCAAGATCAGCGAGTTTGAGAACGCGGCACGCAAGGTGGCGCTCAACTCGGTCAAGGGCTCCTTCACCTCGATCAGCGAGAAGCGCATCGGCAGCTATCTCAACCTTTCGGGCTCCGAGCTGGAGAGCTTCGTCAACGCGCAGCCCGGCTGGAAGCTCGCCAACGGCACCGTCAGCGTGCCTGCCAACCCAGACAACGAGATCAAGGCCACCGTGATCCGCGAAGAGATCTCGCTCGACCAGATGCACAAGTTCCTCTCCCAGGCCCAGTCGCCCATCCTCCGTGCATAGATCCGCTCCCCCCCACCGCGCGTCCATCAAAGTCTCTCTTGGCTCACGCAAGAGTGGCAAGGACGTCCGTCCCAAAATCGAGCCTCCTTGACCTGCTTTCTCTTGTTTCTGTACCATATCCAAGCATCAGTCTCGGCCCAAAAAAACACGCATATCCAAGCCTTTGAGAGTGCATGCTGGATCTGTCCTACACGCCGGCAGACTCCATTGGAACTGTCCAGCAAGATCGTGCGAAGACGGATGGTGAGGGGGCCCTGCAGGCTGGATTCGAGGTCGCCGATTCAGGCATCCCGATGTTGGCGAATCGCCGCCGTCGCAGAAATTTACTAAACGCGACGGAGACGCGCGTCGCGCACGCACGCACGCATGCTTCGGAAGCTGGCAGCTTTCAAACTCCAACCCTTGGCTTCATTTTGGCTCGAGATAGGCTGCAAGCCACAATGAAGTGCGTTTCGTTATCGCATCCACTCTCACGCTCCGTCCTGGCTGTCGTGCCAGTCGATGCTTGAAGGCACAATGGGGCCCCCGCCCGAGACGCGACGGACAGCGCTCGCTTCTGTATCGACTCGACGTCTGAGCATGGGCAAGCCGCAGAGAAGGGACGCGTGGGTTGGGTGGCCGCGTGAATGCCAAGACAGGAACACTGCCGTTATGCCATGAATCGGGCTGAATTTCCACTTTGGGCCTCGCTGCCAGCCCCTTGCCGTCCGGTCTCGCGAGGCTTAGGCCGTGGACGCGCGTCGAGCCACGGCGCGCGCTCTGCGACTGTCGGGTCGGGTGTCAGCTGTCAGTCGGATGCAGCACTGCCAGGGTGCCTCGGTCCAAGCAATCAATCTTGCCGCCGCCTCGACGACGCGCCGACACTGCTCCAGCGCCTTCACCGCTTCGGTGCCTGCATTCTGCACCCATCCACGCCTCCGCTTCCCCCTCCATCGTCTGCATTTCAGCCTCGTGTCCTCTGCTGACGCGCCGCCCATCGAGGACGGCACAATGGGCCCAGGTTTTAGATTGGCTTGACTCAGGGTCGCGCGCTCCATGCCCCCCCAACCTGGGCCAGGACCCGCCTCTCTACACGAACGCGCCGCCGCTACGCCAAATCCACACTGCTCGCTCTGCCCCGCGCCCTGCCTCCTCCTGCCCCTCGCCTCGTCGAGATGCATCCATCCATCCATCCATCCATCCATTCATCGCGCCCGCCCGCAACCGTGTTTTTACCAGGTCTCCCGGGTCTTGAACAGAGTTGCATCCCCCATCCCCCGTTCCCATCCATCCATCCAGTTCTGCCCTCCCCCTTCTGTCCGCTGCCGTTCCCGATCTAGTCTGCCCTCTTTCTCGTGCCCGACCTGCCGCTCTACCACCATCCATCCCCTCGCCCTTTCCATCCGCCTCCTTCCGCAGCATACTCCCCCTACATCATCACTCTCGCCTCCATCATTCGCCCTCTGCTATCGTCTTTTCCCATCGTCTCTCTTCGCATCTGTCTCCGCGCCGCATCCCGCTTGCATATCTCCATCGCTCTTGCCCGCACAGCCCACCTCCACCACCGACATTTGCAAAACCCGCTTTTTTTCACAAAACCGCCCAAAGAGAACCCTGCCGCATTCCGACGTTCCTGCTTGGCGTTCCTGCACGCACGACATCTTTGACACCTGTTCGTCTCGGCTCGATCGTCATCGTCTCAGTTGATCACGCAGACATCCGGAAGACAGGCTGCAAAGTTCGCACGTGCCAATCTTCGCCATCACATCGCACATCGGTCTCAGAGTCGGTCACGGCGAGCGACGCATCTCTGATTGCCATCATCAGTACATCTACGTTGGAGTCGACTCGGTCGCTGGCATGATAGAGTCCCCGTCAACATCGGCAACTTCTCTACCCTCATCCAAAATACCCAGGCACGTGTAGCTTGCGCCGTGACCCTTGCTCTGTCTACATTCGCTACCAGCATACCCGAGCCCCGACTCCCTCCAACGCAGGCAGTTGGTC